AACATGGACCCAAAGAATATCTTATTTGCCTTTGTTTGTATTCGCTCTGTTTCATTCTTATCTTAAACTTAGATATTATATTCTTACAATTATATTTATTGCATTTATTGGATATCTTCAAAGAATCAATGGATTTTCTTTTTAATTATATGCATTCACTTTCTCCTTTTTCTCACTGGTTATTGGACTTGATGTTGATGATGCTAGGAAGAAAATCCTGCTTCTCTAAGGAAAAAAGGAAGTCAATTGTCATAACCTTCTAATTTCCCTCTTTGTAATCCAAAGGCTAGTTCTATGTGTAGTTTGTACAGGGTGCATTGTACAAGGATTGATTTTAACCTCTACACTTAGATAACTTAAATAGATACTTGACATGTGAGAAGATGCATTATAAACATCCATTTTCATTTGGAATTCTACACGTAAAAATATGAAGACACACTTGAATGCATATTTCTTGCTATTTCACTTGAATGCATGTGATCTAACGATATTAATTCATTGTTGAAAGAATATTAAATAAATAATAAATTAAATAAAAGGAGTTGGATTAGAGTTTTACTAGATTCAGGTATAGCAAAATCTATCCAACTACCTACATGAGTTTAAATTATAATAGTTTAGATTATGATGCATAGCAGATGTACTAAAGAGAGAAAGAGAGAGAGAGGGAGAACAAATTAGAGAACTGTTTATTCTAAGGTATGTTTTACTTTCAGCCACCTATCTCTATTTATAGTGGAAGGAAGCCACCTCCAAAAAAGAAATTCAATTAGTAATAATTTGCGTCATTATTAAGGGAATAAATTGATTGGAATAATTATCATTATTGCGAAGGGTTGCTTCTCCTTTTAAAATTTAATCAAAAATTATTTAAATTAATTTTAGATTTCGGTCAACTCATCATTACTGAGTTTATGTCACGTCCGACTAATGGCTCATCAAGCACTAATTTTATGCAAATTCTAACAATTGTTGAATATGGGTAATTTAGCTATTTCACTTCCCTATCTATAGTAATATGCATCTTTCTTTCAAGTCAACTTGCCCGAACGGTGCTTCTATTTTTTTCCCTAAAATTACTTTATCATTTGGCTCTTTTAATTATGTGTCAATTGTCCTAGGAAACTTCTGGTTCCTCTAAGAAGTTTCCATGTGAAGTTTTTATGATTTAATTCCATATGTAAAAAAGTTTCAATCGTGTAGATTGGAAATCGCAAGAGATTTTGCATAATTCAATCTCGGGATCACAATGAGTGAGTTATCTCTTGACATTTGTTAATAACTAACATATTCTCTTCTTGATTCGGCTGCTTAATCATTTTTAAGCACATACTACATTCTTTTTTTATTTTTATGCAGATTAGCCAAAAAATGAAGGGATATACCACATCAAAGACGAAGTTTCCATCATAGCAAGATCAAGACCATAACAAAATAATAGTGACTTTGGCAAACCAAGCAATTCAAGACTTTTTGGAAGTTTTATATTTGTTCATGTTAGTGGTTCAGCCTAATTTTGGGAGTTTACTCTTTTATTGGTACTTGAACATTGTATTTAAGGCAGATGTTTTTTTTTATGTTGACACTAGTTAACATTAATACTAGAATCATGCAATTATTAGATCAAAGTTCTATTTATTCGATCAATTTTTTTATTTTATTTTTAGGAGAAATGTTGAAATTCCATTTATCATAAATCATATTGAGTAATATTGTTATAATGGAAGACAATACTAATTAGCAATATAATATTATAGGCAATAGGTACAATCTGTGAATGAAAAGGCATCGCTTGGTAGACCGCTTTGGTTTGCTAGCTTAGAGATTTGATCTTCATCTTTCCATCTTAATCAATTGGTTATTAAATATCTTCGATTCTTATTTTTCGTGTCATTATTCTGTTGAATTTCATCTGGCAATCTAAGAATCTTCAAGTTCATCAAGGTGTTAGTCGGGACCTCACGAACTTTGTCAAATATTTTTGGTATCAATGTTTTCTTCTGGAGGACAATTGTGACTAGGGAGATACTTTGGCCTCATTTAAATTTCAGTTGGATATAATTAATTATAAAAATAATTGACTAATATGATTGATTTTAATTATAATTAATTATATTATAACGCAGTCTGTTTGTATACTAAAATTGATTTTAGTTGTACAAATTACTATAAAAGATATTACTTTTTAAAATTAAATTATTAATAAAGTTGTATTTAATATTATTAAATTTGTAAAACTTTATTCCAAAAGTAAAATATATTATTTAACAGTAAAATTAAATTTTAAGTAACCTCCCAGAGCTTATTTCGAAATGTGATTTTAACTCAATAATCAATTATAGATAAATTTTCTGTTTGGAAAATTTTTGTTAAAATATATTATTTTAGCTCAAATAATTGATTATTATGCTGTCCAAACAGGTTGTTTATCTAGTTCAAAAACCTTAATACACAATCAGGCCACTGAGATTTCCTCTATTTCATTTGACTGGATAATTGCTACTCCCCCATTAAAAAATGTAAGATATTTTTAATCGAATTTCACTCTTAATAAAACAGTTATATGTTTTCAAAATAACTCTATTTTTTATATTTAATTTTATTTAATAGAGTGTTTCATCCTAAAATAAATATAAAGTGATTTATTTAATAGAAGTATTTTTTAAAAAGATAATAATTACACCTTGAAAGACTAAAAATATCTTACATTTTTTAATATTCAATCTCTCAAAAAAAATTTTATATTTTTAAATGGAGAAACTTAAAAGAAGGAGTTTCATAATTTTTTAGATTGCTTTCTTTGTCCATAATCAATTTTTGAAAGGATGTCTTCAAGAAGACAAGCAGTGGTACTAATATATTCTGTTTACTTTGTTTCTGTAACGCATTTTATTGTGTTACTAATATTGACTATCACTTGTTTCCAATTGGTTCTGAGTGTTTGTGTCACTTGCCACAAGAAGAATCTTTTGCACCAGGCTCTTTCTAGCAAGCTTCAACATAATGTTTTGCTTTAGGATATCCAACTTCTACTAGCCCGTTTTAATCCTGCAAGCTCCCATGTTTCTTTCTGACAATGATTATTTATTTTCTATTTTCAGATTTTTTCCACAGTTTAACCTTAACATTGTACCTTTGTAATCTTTTGTGGTATCTTTTTTTACTTTATTAATAGTGGCGGAGCTAGGATTTAAAAAAAATGGAATTTAAAATTAAAAAACATACATACTATAAAGTTTTAATAAATTTTAGGAGGGTTGGAAGTATGTAACACTTATATAATATAAAATTTTTTTATAAAATTGAGGGGGCCACGGTCCCTACTAGTCTCCTCTTCCTTTGCCACTATTTATTAATATATAAGTCCTTGACTTCTCTTAAAAATACTTAAAAAAAGAATTTAATTTTTAAGAAATTAAAATCATTATTTATTTTAGTTTTAAAAAAATATTACAAGATGAGTAAAATTATGTCTTTTAAATGTAAAAATAAATAATTAAAGTATATAATTGGGAGATGTTTACCTTTTACTGTTTAACACTAAGAGATAATTTTTGCCATCAATAGTTTATTTAAAAAAATAATTGAAGTATGCATTTCATTAGTCTACTCCAATTAGGAAAAAAAAAGAGTATGCATACTTTTAAATATTGATAGTGGATATCGTTTTCCTTGAAGAATAATAAAACACAAAAAAAAAAAAATGTAATTTGATACGTAACCTGCAAAGGAGACCACTGGCTTATATATATATATTCAAAAAAAAATGTGATTGACTAAAATATTGAATTAGTTTAAGATAATGGCAGCGATGACGTCAATGACCATATAATTAAACAAGCTAGTGGCAAATATATATATATATATATATATGGGAGGTTACGGGTTGAGCTCACTTACAATATCAAGTCATTATTGCGTTTCCCTCTAACACAAAATTAAAGGTCGAATTATAAATAAATAACCTCTGGGGACATCTTCCTTGATAGTTAAAACTTTATAATAAATAGTATATATTACAGATATTAAATCTTATTTATAGAGTGGAGAGAAAATAATTTTTTAAATTTTATTTTTAAGTGTGTCATTTAATTTTTATAAAAATTTTTTTACCCTCCAGTAAATATTGAAGGGAGAAAATTATATGCTATTAAAGTATGTATATTTATAAGAATAAAGTTGAAAATTTATTAAATTTTTAAATAGAGTTAATAAATTTTAAATTTTTTTTAATTTATGTAAAATATGTTAAAAATAACTAATAAAAAGAGCCAAAGGAGTATGTATATAAATGATGTGATCAACGAGTCTATATAAGAATATACTCCCTTCAATTTTTATTCTAAGACACATTTTAAAAATATTTTTTATTCTTAATATAAGGCACACAATAATTATTAATTACTCTTTTTCAACATGACTCATATTTAAATTTTAAAAATGAGAGAGAATATAATATAAATTTTAAAAAATTTATTTAAACAAAAATAAAAATAAAAATTTATTATATTTTTAAATAAAATTAATAATTTAACCATTTCGCGCGCGCGTATATATATATATATATATATAAATAATATGACGGCACTCGCGCGGATTTGGCGGCAGGTGAGAAAATGGACGTTGATGGGAGAACGATGGAAATTGAAAGTAAAGGGGAGGCACAAAGCAGAGTCTCTGGCCAAAGGAGGGGGCAAAAAAAAAAAAAAAACAAAAACAAAAAACACACACACACACACACAAAGCAGATCAGGGGCAACATGGGAGTTATCTTGATTTGATATTTACAAAGTTTGGGGTCAAAAGTGTAATTGTATCCTCCTCAAATTACCCTTCCGTAACCTTGCTGACAAGATAAAACACTGCTCTGATTTCACCGGGGGAATAAAAACAGTTAAAAACACTGCCCTGATACATAATTGTAAACTGCTGGTGAAAGAAAGGATCAATGCTCAAGTAAATAAATAAATAAATAAAAATAAAAATAGATAAATTCTTTGCTCTTCAAGTCCGTTTCCAGAGTCTCCTCGCATTTTCTCCTTGCTTTTCTCCATAAAAGCTAAGGAGGACTTTTCTCTTCATACCAGTTTCAGACCCAGCAAAGCAAGCAACCACCGTTAACGTTTTGCTCTGAATCTGGAAAAAATGCATTTCCATGGTACTCTACACTACTACGCCTCTTCCTCTCTACCTTCATCTCTTCTCTTCATGAATTTGGCATCTGTTTGTAGTCTTCACTCACTCACTCTCTCTCTCTCTCTCTCTCTCTCTCTCTCCAGATGGCAACAGAGTGGATTTCTCTCATATGTTCGCCGTGTCTTTCGCCGGATTAGTTGCCGCCACTCACGCCTTGCGCTACAGGCATGCAGCGTCGAAGCAGTTGGAGAAAGACAACGAGATCATCCCGAAGCTGGAACGAACAGAATCTGGCCGAGTCGGAAAGCTTGAGAAGTTCTCCCATTATGTCGGTACGTCGTGCTCGAACACAAATTTTGAACCGAATAATGAGATTTTGAGATTAGGATCTCTCTGTTTGTGTTTGAAAGAGTAGGTGGTTGATTTTATCCTAATCTCATCTAAGTTTCTTTTATTCGATTCTTTTGGTTGAATCTCAAGTTGACTGAGTATCATAGTCTCTTTCTAACTCTACATGATGCGGATTGGGGAGGCGATCGATTTGTCACACAGATTTATAGCACAGAACCTCTCACATTTGAAAGGGTTAACAGTGATTACAATTCGTTTGATAAAATGAATTCGAATTAAGAGGGCGAGGTTCTTATTAATGACTTGATTATTCTTAATTAGTTTATGTTTATCATTTATGCAATTATCTAAAGAAAGGATAATAACTAAAAAGTAAAAACTACTGGTCAAAGAATCAAAGAAACTAGTAGAAAGCTATTCATGCTTTTTTATTCAGTAAAACTGGAAAAGGCGAAAGAATAGCGAAACTTTATGCTTCTGTATTTTCTCTTTGATGGGACTCGAAATGAACCGTTGCGTGTGGTTAGAGAATCACAGATAGACATGAACTGAACTGTGTGTGGATCAATAATTTGCAGCTAGGCAAATGGGATTTGAAAATCCTGCTGAAGTCCCTGGGCTATGCAAGTTAGCTAATGACTTCCTGAGAAAAGCCAAGGATTTTGAGGAAAGCGTGTATGAATATTTTGATAAAGAGCATGGTGCTGAATCTCTTCATGTCAAGTTGATTCATGAGTTTGACAGATGCATGCTCACATACCTTGCTTTTCACTGGAACCAAGCTTCTGCTTTGATTAGCCAGGTAACGTCATGTTTTTAACTAATTTAGCTGATTTATTTAATTAATTATTCCTAATCGTATTTTAGAAAAACATCGAAAACTACTTATTGGTCAATTTTATTTTTTGTCCCAGTGTTTGAAAAAAAAATATTTTAGATAAATACTAGCCGAAAACAAGCTATATTATAAGATTTGTATGATCAATTTCGAAGAAAAATTAAGAGGATTCGGAAGTGCGATTTTTTTCCATCTATTTTCTCTGAACTTGTTAATTTTAAAGATGTAGCATGTGGTCAAATACAATATTCTGGGTCTAAAAATGAACGACATAAATAAATAATCAAACTCAAGATCTAAACACTAATTTCGCGAGGGCAATTCTTACGTGAATAAAAAATTAGAGGGATTGAATGATGTGAATGCGTTCCTCATTATTTTTTCATTTTTCTTTTTGGATTACGATTCTGCATTCATGATCTTGATGATAACATACTTTGTTTTCTCTTTCTGTCTATAGTGATATTAGAAATACTCCAAAACAAGTTGCAATTTTTCAATACGTTTCAATAGCATGTTGGGCACACGAATGAAGCTCAAAATGTCATTAAAGAACTAATTATTGATATCTTTGGATTTTCTTTTTCTCTCCATTGTGATGAGGATACAAAAAAGTCATTGTCATGACTGACACCAAATAAAGATAATACTAGTGTTTTTCTTTTCTTTTCTTTTTTTTGGTTGAAACCAAATAAATAAACATAATATGAAAGTTTTATACAGATAGTTTAAGAAATTATATGAAATTGATTATAAAAGTGTAAAAATTCGTCAAAACTAATTTTTTTGAAATATACTCAACTTGGCCTGGAACATTTGGATGTTAGGAACACAAATCAGAACAGTAAATTTTAAGCAGCTTTCTAAAGATAGGCCACCAGACAATATTATTGATCATTGATTCAAACTTATGAAGATGAACTGTTGTCTTTAGAAATAATGAAAAGTTGGTAGTTTAAATAGCTTGTTAATTTATTTTTGTAATTACAATTAATGACATGTAATATTTTGTTAATTATCCATGATTAGCAGTAAAACAATTTTTTTTGCTATAGTGGCACTCTAATCTTAACATGATTTAGTATGTTTATGGTTAATATAATTTATTTTTACAAATTTTTGGGGTTTAATTGAATTGCATCGAAAATTAATATGTTTTTGGGGTTTATTACTTTCTTTTTGGGTTATAGGCATTAAGCAGCGAGTCTGGGAAGAAAACTCAGCTGCAGGGGATGTTTTGGGCAGCTACGAGGTGACTCTCTCGCCCCCTATTTGCATTTGATACTTTTTTATAGGTATAGTTTAATGAAAAGTCTTTACGAGCCATAAAAAATTTCAAAATTTATATTTAAAATAATCGGTAGGAACAGTAGATGTGATTCTCATGGCTTGAGATTGATTGACTAATGCCGGCCTAGAGGATCCAATTAAGTTCGGTTACTGGCACTAAGAAAATAAGGTGGTGCATGCATTGCACTGAAAGACTCATCAATTATGGGAATCATATTGCTTAAAATTTGAAATAGTATGATTTGATATAAATTTTATATTTTATATTGATATTAATAATTTCTTGAATGGTTATAAACGTAGGATTTATTTAAAGAGTTAGTTTTTATTCTTAATGTAAGACTTCGATATCTTTTACCTCCTACATTGAATTTTTACCCCATGTCATTCTTATTTATGGCATTATTTTTCACTGTAAAAGAGAATAGTAAATAAACTGAATTAAATAGCAGGGATATTTTAGAAAAACTATCACAAATTCTCAAAACATAAATAATAAATAAACCAAACTTCAGAGGAAAAAAACTAACTAAACTCATTTTTTTTAATGTGAATTAAGTAACAAGCTCCTGCATTTATTGTTGGAGGTAATATTTAAATAATTTTTGAATGGGACCTTGTAATGGCATTAAAATAATGTTTAATATAATAAAATATCAGAAAAATAATGAGGGAAGGATATTATAATTACTGAGAAAGAGCTGAATTAGGCATAAATTCTTTTACACTAATTAGGTAGGCAAATCACTGGTTATTACTTACTAGTTTGGGGGACCACCGGACCACTAAAGGAGCACGTGATAGTGTACTCATGCATGGCTACTTTTGGTCCCGGTGACACCAACCTCTGAAGAGGGATGAAGGGGAGCAAACATTCATGTTCTGCATCTACTACTCCCAACGATGTTTAATGAATAGTTGTAGTAGTAGTTGCCAGCTGGAACGGATGGTAATTATAGATGATATCTTTTTCGGATATTTTAGGTGTGTCATATTCAAAGTAATTTATTACTAATGCAAAAAGAAAAAGGGACAACCATGTGTCTTTGTTTTGTCATCACTAGAGATGCTGGCTACACAATGCATAGTATTGCATAATATCTATGGATTTTTTAGCCAGAGAATATCTATGCAAATTGGAATCTAGGATTTTTTTTTTCTTTTTAGGGAAAAGGGACCACTCTTGTTATCCCCACAAAACAAAATATCAAGCGTCCTTTCTTTTTTTATAATACCTTTTTATATAAAAATGAGAGGGTAATATATAATTAGGATATTTTCGTTTACGCGTCAATAGTATGTTTCTACGTACTTGCATTATCTGAAATTGAGATATATAGTGCATGTTTTGATTAAAAACTTTTGCCACTGAAAGTTAGAATCAATTGAGATTAACAAGCTAAGGTTAAAAAAAAAATTTATAATTTTGACGTAATTTATGTTTAGATATTTTTTTAAATTGATTTAAAAGCCAGTTAGGGTCAAAAATGGATATAAGTTTTGTTGTATATATTTTTGTGATTGATTTAATATTTTTTTAAAATTACAATTTTTTTTTAAAAAAATAGATTATAAATATAAAATACATTGATAAATAAAACATCTTTATTTTTAAAAAATAAAATTAAATGATAAAATTTAAAATATTCTAAAGTTAAAATAAATTTTGACAGTACTCATCTCGCAATATTACACTTTATCTGTTAAAAAATATAAAATTTTTTTTGAGAAGGTAGATATTAAAAAATATAAGGTATTTTTAATTTTTTAAGATGTAATCTTTATTTTTTTTTTTCAAAAGTGTCCTTATTAATGAATGATTTTATATTTATTGTAGGGTGTTTAATAGGGATAAATATAAAAAGATAGGGTTAGTTTGAAAATAGATAACTACTTTATTAGGGGTAAGATTTAGTTAAAAATATCTTATATTTTTAAATGGAGGGAGTATATCTTTTTGAATGAATCTAATATTAACTTTTCATTGCAATTCTTTTACTTTCCACCTCTTCCCCTCTTTAATTTTTATTTTCTCTTTGTCCATCCTCATCTATCTTTTTCCATCTATCTCTCTCCATCTCTAACTTTACTCCCAGTTCTTAAATTTTCTCAATCAGTGACGAGCTGTTTGACCTCAGGCATTGAGCTTTCTCCTCTTGTTCACAGTGGCTGAGAATGGAGACAAATTATCTTGGCCATAATAACAACACCGAGAAAGGATAGACTAACAAATTTTAAGATGCATTTAATGCCCCAATGTTTTCCAAAGCCAAAGCTAGGTGAGAAAGTTAGGAAGAATGGCTTCACTCGAAACGCTCGTTTACTTGCCACTGGCACCGAGCTTTCACATTTTTCTTACCCAAAATATGATTTAAATTTATCCAATCAGCTTTTTGCCCCCCAACCTAGGTTGGAAGCCACTAAAAGAGCGTTTGGTGGCAATCCAAACATACCTGCAAATTTTTTTGCAGTTTTCTTTCAAGTATTTTTCTTCATTTTATTATTTTTTTATAAAATATAAAATCTTCTCTTTCTTGATTTAAAAAAAGTAAACTTCATAAAAATTTACAAATATCAATTTCAAATAATTTAAATCCATTTCCATGGACTTACATCTTCTGAAGTTGATATATGTGAATTTTTGTGAACTTTTCTTTTTTAAAATATTTTTCCTCATTTATTATTTTTTATAAAATATAAAATCTTCTCTTCCTTAAAGAGAAAAAAAAGAAGTAACCTTTACATAAATTCACAGATTCACAAATATCGATTTCAGAGAATTTAAATATGTTTCTATAGACTTACATTTTCTGAAGTTGAGATATGTGAAGTTTTATAAAGTTTTCCTTTTTAAATATTTTTTCTCATTTTATTATTTTTTATAAAATATAAACCTTTTTTTCATTATAAAAGTAAACTTTAAAAAAATTCACTGATATTAACTCGAAATGATTTAAATCCTGTTTATATTCTTTATCTATCATGTGCTAGGCTAGCCGTAGATTCATGTAAGGAAAGACAGTTTTTTTAATGCATTACTTCTCATTTTTGTTTAGTATTTTTAATTAATTTTATATTTATACTTTACTTATTTTAATTTCGTTGAAAAAATAATCCTATATGGAACTTGAATATTGGGGCCGCCCCCCGGAGGGGGGGGGGGAACTTGTGCGTGCGCCTGCCTGTGACTGGAGTGTAATGGGCTGATATTGTCTCATAGGCCCATCTCGTTGTTTTCAACGAGACCAATCGTCGTATTGGGGGTCCCCCCCGGGGGGGGGGGTGGTGTGGGGGACACTGACTGTTTTTCTTCTGGGTGGGCAGACATATTAGTTTTTAACTTAAATAAATCCAAATATTTATGGTTAATTAAATTTCAGTGATTAAAAAATTTCTAAATTAAAACGTAATCTCGCCTATCCTATTCTTGTTAATCTAAACATATCTTATGTATGATATTAAGCAGTGGCATTTTTTATTTTTTATTTTTTGTTTGGATTGTTTGTGAGAAACTTTAAATTAAAAACTACAAAAAGAAAGAAAATGAAAAAAAACAGTAATTATTCTATAAGTAAATGAAATAAATGAAGAGGAAATTGTGGTGTGCGCAGGAAACAGAGGTTTGAGACAGTAACAAATGATTTGAAGGTAACAAGGGTGTTCTCTACGTTGGTGGAGGAGATCAAAGTAATCAATGGGGCATCCCAATGTAAAGGTGTCATGGTTCCAATGGCCCTCAGTGAGAGGAGTCCTGTACTGCTGCTCATGGGTGGTGGAATGGGTGCTGGCAAGAGCACTGTTCTTAAAGACATTCTCAAAGAGTAATCATCTCATTTCTCCTATTATTATTTAATTGAGTATATGATGTTTGATGCTGCCTAGTTAAATTCAAGTTTTGTTAAGCTCAATTGAGAATAACTTTTTAAAAGATTTTTTTTTTTCATCCACACGAACTTCAACTCTAGATCCCACAATCATAATCTTCACATCTCATATTATTCACACAAGGTTTTGAAATGTTTGTTATTCTAACGGATAATTAATTAATAACAATAATTTAAAAATTCAACATTGGATCAAGTTGAAAATTTAGATAAAAATGATTTACGATTTAATGATTCAATTATGATTAAATTGAGAGTGAAATGTTTTTCTAGATATATATGTAATACATGAATATATGTTGTAATTCTAATTATAAATATTGCAAAATATTATTTTTTAAATGTATAAATAAATATCTAAAAGTATAAATGTTATGCGAGTAATATCATTTAATTACTAAAGCATTGTCAAGTTAGTCCCCCCCCTCCCCAAAAACAAAAAAAGGATAGCTTTCAGTTTTACCATTCAAGAGAGATAAGTTTGCTCAAGCTTTGTAGACTCACATATCAAATGGATTTGGCAGGCCATTTTGGGTAGGAGCCTCATCAAAAGCTGTGGTAGTTGAGGCAGATGCTTTTAAGGAGTCTGATGTTATATACAAAGTCCTTAATTCTAGGGGCCACCACGATGACATGCTCCAAACTTCTGAATTGGTATATTCCTAATTCAACTTCTTCGCATAATTATTTTGCCTATTAATTCTATAGCAGTTAGGGGGAACGATGTATATTAATTTGATGTTATATAATTACTCATTGAGGTTTAGGGCTCGATAATATATTATTATTTTGAATGATATTTAATTCTTTTGATAATTTCTCACTATTTCAATATATTGCTTTTTAACGTCAAATTTAAATTTCATGTTATCTAATAGTGAAAGCAAGAATGTATTGTACAATTTAGTGCATTCATATAATTGAGTCCAACCTAAGCTTAGGGTTACATTGTGAGTGGTTTTATAATAATCTCCTAGTCATATTGGAGGTAGATTATTTTTCTTTTCTTTTGTTTTTTAAAATGCAGCTATGGGGTTATATTGTAATTGGAATTTCATCGACATAATTTTTTTCCTCCACAAGTTTTGAATCCATGTTGAAGGAGAATTGAGTCTTGCTCAATCTGACCCAACGATTTGGCATATTAGATGTAGTCATGTAGATTGATTGAAGTGTGCATAGATGGATTCAAATACCACATTAACATTAAAAACTTTTTAAAATTTTGAGGTATTAAAAAAGAAAAAAAGCTAGACGATGTTTATTATATTATTACACATAATATACAAGTGGGGTGGTTTAATTGGAGAAGGGCTAAATGAGTTATTTGTAATCGTAAAGTACTCGATAAGCTTAAAGGACAGATTTATCAAACTGCTATAAGACTAGCAATTTTATATGGTAGTGAATGTTGGGCTTTGATGGGGCAGCAAGAGCATAAAGTTGGAGTAGCAGAAATGAAAATGTTAAGATGAATGTGTGGATATACACGTAAAGACAAAATTCGAAATAAGTGAACACAGGAAAAAGTGGGCGTGGCTCCTATTGAAAAAAATGGTAAAAAATCATTTGAGGTGGTTCGAATATATATAAAAAAGACCATAGGAGGCACCTATGAAGAGAGTGGAATAGATGACTTTGAGCCTTGTCAAGAAAGGTAGAAGAAGACTGAAAAGAACCTTGTTGGAGGTTGTTGAGCGATACCTTTTAATTAATAATATTTCTAAAAATTTAATAAATGATAAAGTACAATGGCATCATATAATTCATGTAGCCGACTTCACCTACTGAGATAAGGCTTGTTGTTGTTATTGTTATTGTTATTGTTGATGTTTGTTATATTATTGAGGAAGACTAAAGATAATATTTATGGAAATCGTTGAACGAAACCTCTTAATTAACAATATTCTTAAAAGCTTGGTTGATGACAAAGTATCATATAGCCGACTCCACCAAATGGAATAATGTTTGTTATTGTTGTTGTATACTAAACGATGCTCAATTGATAAATGTATTCAAACAGGTGCATCAATCTTCAACTAATGCTGCATCATCGCTGCTAGTGACAGCACTAAATGAGGGGCGAGATGTGATAATGGATGGCACCTTATCATGGGAGCCTTTTGTGGAGCAGACTATCGACATGGCAAGGAATGTTCACAAACATAGATACCGCATGGGAGTAGGCTACAAAGTTGCCGAAGATGGGACTGTAACTGAAAACTACTGGGAGCAAGCTGACGAGGAAGGAGATGCTAATGGAGAGTCAGGCAATAATAGAAAGCCTTACAGGATAGAGCTGTGTGGTGTGGTCTGTGATGGTTATCTTGCAGTTGTTAGAGGCATCAGGTACACACACGTTCAAATCCATCTCTTGGTCTAAGTAGTTTCAATTATACATGGTTTCAAAATCAGAGCCTCACATAAAAAGTGTTTATAGTTTTTGTTTGGTTTGGTTCGGTTCTGATTCGGACAAAAACCAAACTGAACTAAATTAATTGTTTCAATTAAGCTTGAGACCTATTCGATTTTTCACTTGATTGTTTTGGTTCAGTTTTTTCAACTGTTTGGTTCAGGTGTGAATCAAGCTTGAATGCTTTTTTATTTTATTTTTCTAGTTTTTTTGTTGGAATCTAGCATAATTGTTGATAATTAATTTTAAAAACAAATCTCTTGAAGACAAGTGAGAAAAAATATCTCAAGATTTTTTTTACCACAATTAGCATCATCAACTCCTTTTTGGTTGAAGGAGAAGGAGGCAATCAAATAATATAAGAAATAATTTCTTTAAAGGAAAAAAAACTATTTCGTTCATGGACTTTGAATTTTGGGCTTATTGAGTGAGTGTGTGTTTATTTTAAAATATTTACATTAGGTTTAAATGTATTTTGAGTGAAATTACATAATATAAAAATTAAAAAGGTGTAGTTTGGTTTAGATCATGCTTTTCATGCTCAAAAGTCAAAACCGAAGCATGAACCGAACCACCCGGTTTATAATGTTAAAAAAACCGAAATAAACCTCATTTCTAGTCTGTTTTGATCGGTTTTTTTGGCTTTGGATCACTTTATTTTGGTTGTTCGGTTTTGAATATACCCTTACCTCCAGTATTGCAGGACATATGCAAGGCTCACATAAACAAGTTCTATCTGGGTCTTGCCACTTTTCTATCTGATAAACAGGAAAAAGGATATTCATAGACTAGGTTGGATTTGGTTCCGAATCAAAGCCAAATTGAACCAAACGAATCAAGTGAAAGATTGGTTTGGTCTGGCTTGATTATACTCCCTCAGTTTCAAGTTATAGATATTTTTTAAGGAGTTTTTCCATCTCAAAATATAAAACACTTTGAATAGATTAAGGTTTCATTAAATACACCAATTCTAATATTACCTTCTCTCTTTTTATAATTAATTTCCATCACTTTTCTTTTAATATATTAAATGATGAGTATTTTGGGGAGTTTATATTTTTGTTTTGGAAATATAAGGTTGTTAAATGTATTTAATGAGGTTTATTGGTATGTGAGATTTTGTCTAAAAAATGTTTTATAATTTGAAACAGGAGGAGTAATTTGGTTTATGCTGTAAGAAAGTGAAACCAATTCTAAAAATGGCAAAATGCAATCTTCAATAATCACCCGAGAAAAAGAAAAACCTAATTATTAGTTCAGTTTGGTTCAGTTTTAACCAAATTGATTAGATTGGTTTTAATAGTTTTTTGGGCTTTATTTGTTCAATTTAGTCAAAGTTGATCCGATAAGTTTGACTGGATTTTAAACACCGGTAATGCAAATCAGTTTCATTGAATCCCTCGTTCATTCTGAGAACATGTAGATATCTCTGTTTATCTCTTAGTGGGTCATCGATGACTGATACAATAGATTGTTGTATGATTTAATTACCTCGATGACTAACCTGCCCCTTAGTATAACTGGCTCGTTTAAACAAACATTATAGTGAGTGTTGGGTTTCACATGCTAAAATTATGGATTTAGTAGTTTCCAACATGGAACCAAACGTACACTATTTCTTTTAAAATAGATCTGGTGCAATACTGTATAGGATCATTTTAAATTTTTGAAGATTTGAACTGACATTTTATTGAAATTATTGTTTGATAGGAGAGCTATCATGACAGGGAGGGCAGTGAGGGTGAATTCTCAACTAAAATCCCACAAAAGATTTGCTAATGCATTTCAAAGATACTGCAAACTTGTGGACCATGCTAGACTCTACAGCACAAATTCAGTGGATGCTCCACCAAAGGTAAAGTTAAAAGACAAGTTTATTGGTCATTACTATGTTGAAAATAAATGATTCAGAAATCTTCCCATGTATTATAGTACTCGTTTAGCATATAGAATGAAATGTGGAGAATGAACAAAAATAATCATGTGGATAATAAAACTTTTAATTCTTTAAGTTCGTCTTACTTATTGCTTTAGTCTCTCAAGTTTAATTTTTATTGATTTGGTCCTCTTTCTTAAACTTCCATGTTAGTTAGTTTTTAAACATAAATATGTAGCTAAATGAAAATAACTCTCATATTAACTTAATTTTTATCATTCTTGTCATTCACATTGTGTTTTGTTTTATAAAATTTCTGAGTTTGTTTCTTTTTCATATATAAATAATTACACTTCTTTTATTAATCTATGTAGTTGTTATCAATATTTTGTTTTCAATATTAGCATATTTTAACTGCGTTACCTTTTCTTTAAACATCAAGGGCCAAATCAGTAACTAATGCAAATTTTAGAAGCCAAATTTATAAAAATTAAACTTGAGAGATCAAATTAATAATTGAGTCAAAATTGAGGGACTACAAGTTCAATATCGCATACTTTCTGTTTTTCTTTTGCCTGAAAATATCCCATTATTGTGCATAAGAATTGCCCGTCGCTCTGAATTAAAGCAATAATAAAAAATATTTCTTATTAGGTAATGGTAATGAAAAGATAACAAACACTATAATTTTCATTCTTATATTACTAGGTGTACCGTCATTTATTACATGGAGCTTGATAGATGAATTACATAATTTGCAACTAGTGAACAATGTGACTTGCTTTATTATTATATTATTATTATTATTATTATTATTTATTATTATTTGTCAGGACTCATTTCCCACTTCACTCTTACAAGAAAGCGTTCCGATAAGTTCAACCTTAAAAAAAGCACTTTGATAAGTTCCACCTCTATTTTTTAGAATGCTTTTACATAGATGCCCCTTTTGTTGTAGTAGTAGTGTTACCATTTATTCTTAGGTGGAAAATACCCATTTTATGTTCTTAGCGAACAGTAATGTTATGAAGAGCTTCAGAATCACATGCTTGTAATTGTGTAGCTCATAGGATGGAAGGAGGGAGAGCACAACTTGCTTTGGATCCTGAGCAGATAATTTCTTAGAAAGAATAGCGAATTTGAATGCTGATGCTGATTCCATCTACGAACTCTACAAACCACCCAGCCCTGCTCTGGGGCCTGGTTCTATCTGGAATGGCATTGTTTTCTCTTCTTCAAGAGAAGGATCAGAAACTGTTGAGAGATTCGATTCAGAAAATAGAAAAACTCCCCGGAAACCAATAATTAATCAATCCATTGGTGCTTGGACCGAGGAGCTGCTTCAATGGCCTCATGAATTGGTGAGCTTCTATGAATTAGTGAGTTTAAGCGTGTTGACATGTCTATTTATGTACTCAACTTGTCCATATTTTGTTCGAAATATTGACGTGTTCAATATATATATATATATATATATATTCGTGTATCTTGTTCGGCAATCAAGGTTACTTATGATAGATGTGGATTGTGTCCTTGCTTTCATGTAAAGGTGTAAATAAATTCATGAATGTGAGACCTAGTTAACTAATTTTGCACCTTCTCATGTTCTCAACGTAAGACTTGGAGCTTGTTTTGATTACTGTTTCATATATATATATAATATAATGTATTATACAATTAGAAAATTAATTAATCATAATAATTATGTTTAAAAAATAAAAAATTAAAATAAAATATATTGTGTTAATCAATATAAACATACGTTAATTGTTTTTCATAATGAAAATTATGCGGGATAATTTTAGAAGATATGTAATTTTGCTTTTTTTTTTTTTTAAAAAAAAATCAAGAGTAGCAGTTTCTCTAACAAATAAAAACAAAGGGAGTACTATAATTTGCAAAATAAGGTTGAATTAAAAGCCAGTTAATTAAAAAAGTAGGTTTTATATATAATACTTAAAAAAGACATAAGTATGCAATTTGATAAGTTTGAGAAAAAATATCATAATTAAAATTAAAATTATGAAATAAAAAGAGGTAATATATTAATGTAGGAAATATTTTTAAATACTAAAAAAAATTAATTAGATCTATTTAAAGAATATATATATATATATATATATATATAATTAATGGGAAGTAAACGTGTTAATTTAAAAATAATAAACGATCAAGGAAATGTGGAAGGATAAATAGGATGTTCAATAATAACCTAATTAATGAAAACCTTCAAAATCTAATGGTTCAATTAATAGAGTATTCTTGCCATTTCCAAACAGTAATGTCAACATGATTTACATCTATATTCCTCAAAGGTTCTCAATCCCAAAAATGCATGAAATGGCTTGTCTCACAAGCTACACAACGAATCTATATCATCTCAATTTATGGATACAAATAGATCATTTTGAGCAAATTATCATTTCGATATATATTTATTTGATCAAGGTCAAAAATTTGCTAGGATAGAAAAAATAAGAGTTTATAGATTATTGGAACTAATCTAGGTGGTAAGAGTGAAATGGGATAACATATAATGTCCAGCGTTCAAAATACTGTGTTAAAAATAAAAAAAAAAAAGGTATACTGAAACTATTAGATCTTCAAGTTAGTTCCAATTATCAATTTGATCATTCAAATTTAATTTTTAATTGGATTTAGTGTTAAGTTTGTCTCATTTATCAACTTAATCCTCATTGTTTAAAAGATAATGTAATATTATTAAATCTGCTGACAGAGATAAGTAGTTACATAAATTAATAAAAAGATGTGTACTTATTTGGTAAAAAAAAGGATTAGAAATTTTCAAAAAAATTAAGAACAAAATGCAGCGTAACAAATATATTGATAAAAATTAAATTAATGTGCAAGCTAATTTGTTCTCATTTAGTTATATATTGGTCAACTCAACTCATCAATATACTTCACATAGATAAATTTAAAAGTTCATTTGTGTTTTCAAAACTTAAAGAACTAACATGATAATTTAAGAAAAAATTAAGGACCCAATCGATAAAAATTAAATTTAAAAATAAAATTGATAACCAAGATGAATTTGAAGGATTAAAAGTTTTATTATCCTAAAGAATTAATAGATAGAAGATGTAGCAGCAACCTATTAGAAGTAGTTGAAAAGCTAAATGATATATTTCTGTGAGAGCACTTTGCCGGCCATGGAATGGAATAATTTGTGAAACTAAAACTACACTCAAAATAGTAAGATTTCCCTAACGCTGATAATTAGTCAGTGTATAGTTGAAAAATACGACTGAATTAACATTATGAACAAATATATTCACACACCTTTCAACAGAGTCAGAACAATGCCCCTTGCTGCATGCTCATGGACAATGTCACTTTTCTGTGTTTTCTTTTTCAGAGATTCGATGAGATATGAGAGATTTTTGCATCCTTCATCATTGTGATTTCAATCTTTCAGCAGTTTGATGATATCTGAATCACATGAACCTTGATTTTGAACATCATATCAAACTTCTCATGTTGGAGAATGTAAACTACCACTTTCATCTTCATGATCGTTTTCACTATCGTATGTTTCCAGAAATGCCTCATCTCCTTCCTCGTTATCTTCAACTAAATGGAAAGAGGACACTGACTCATTTTTACAGAAAAATAACAGCAGTAACTATAACAGATCTCATCTTCATGATCGTTTTCACTATCATATGTTTTCAAATTTACATGAACTATCTTTAAAAGTAAAAAATAAATTACACAGATATTACATGAATTTTGGGAGTTTCCAATTAACTTTTTGTTTGGATGGATGTCTGTAACTTTTGAAAAATAAGGAAGTATGTATAATTTTAACCAAATTTAAAGAAAATCTGCATTGATTTTGAAAACTGAGGGAATGCTTGTGTGATTTCAACAAAACTCAAAGGTTATGTAATTACTTACGTTAAAAAAACAGAAATGAGTGTGTATGAGGATTTTTTTTTTAAAAAATTAGCAATTATAAGCAGAGAACAATTTTGGCTATTGGGTGAGTTAGGAAGAATGGGCACACAATCTAAACGTCCAGGTGATTTGAGTGTCTGATAAAGCTCATATTTTACAAAGACCATAAGAGGAAATCAAGGAAGGCAATGAGCTTAAGATAACATTATTGCTGGTTCAGATGTTTTCTCTTCCGGATCCTGGTTTAAAGGAAAAAGTAATTGATGGCCTAGTAATGCTTTAGAGTCCTAGTGACGTGTTAAGAGTCTTCAAAGGTAAGGGCTGTCTAGAGTCACTTTTTAGTCTTTAAAACTCCTCCTTGCCTAGAGAGAGGGGTGTGGAGTATTTTGAAAATTGTGAGTGACAAGGAGAGCTCTGGCCTCTCGAATGCCAAATGAGGTGTAGGAAGATATCTTTCTTCATCATTTGTTCATGTGTAGTTTATGTTTGGTGTGCTATACTAGGTTGTATTTTTGTTGTTTCATGTACTTTGGACTTTCAGTTCCTTATTTTTCTTGTAAATACACTACTCCATTATTCTGTTTAATCCCATTTGCTGTGTATTTTTCTTGTTTTAAGTTTATTAGTGTAGAGGGTTCCAGCAGTGTCCCTATGCGTTCAATACGAGTACGAGGGACAGAGGAGTATAAAATATAGATAGATAGATAGATATATATATATATATATATAGAGAGAGAGAGAGAGAGAGAGAGACCTTAGAGGAGTCGTCGTCGTCATCGTCAGTAGCATAAGCATAATCTAATTGTCATACAATGCTTCATCTCCACAGTCCCTTACCCTCTCCATTTGATCCTATGAAAAGTTGAACAAGCCAAATGAGAGGTGGCACCCAAAAGGGGTTGACATTAAAAGAATTTTTTTTTTTTTTTTGCAGAGATGCTAAAAGTATATGAAAGATTAGTTAGTCCATACTATTTCGCGCCTCTTATTTTCGCCACTTTACTTTCCAAAGAGGAAAATATGATTTAAGAGTGCCTGCAATACCAGAAAGAAATAACTCAGCAAAGAGCATTAGCTATAAGCATAAATAAAAAAAGCATTCGCACACCCAGACAAAAGAAAGAAAAAGAGGAATAGACAGACAGGATTATAAATAGATAGATACACGATCATGTTTTTCTCAATAGAAGAACTATTTCTCTCATGGAAGGAGAGTTACAAAAGGAAAAATAGGGATATACTCCACATGATGAATACTACAAAGCAAAATGGCTATTAAAGATTACTTTAGTTTACTAGAGGTTTCAACAACATTTTTTTCTTAGCTCGATGAAAAAAAAAAGGGCTTTTCCTAGGATTCTCTTTAAATAGAAATATGGAACAAAGTAACTAGAAAAAAAAATTTGTTATAGTCCACCTCTTCTAGATTCTAGAAGGATCATCCAAAAGCAGAATGTTTTGAATGCAGTCAGATAAAATGGCCGACATAGATGTTTATGGATGACTTTTTTTTGTCTTCCATTTGTTAATCTCTTCCATAAAGGAGATGAATGAAGCCAAAGTTTCAGGTTCAGTTCTGAATTAGAGAGATCAAAAATGATGAATTAACGTTTAATAACCCCTAGCCTTCCAAGCTAATTATGCCGTTTTGATTCTCGCTACCCACTTCTAGATGTGAATAATGAATCGGGATTACCAAAGGAAACAGAAGTAAATAGCATAACCCCACTTAAAGCAACAAGGGAAAAATTGCTCTCAAATGGTGAGATAGTGATCCTTAAATCCTAGTGATTCCAGTGTTTGTAAAGATACCTCGCGTCTTTGGAGCTCAATTGAACGTGCGAGAGCTTTTCTTTTGTCAAAGATTCTTGGGTCTCAAAGTTGAAGGTCTCTTATAGTCTTTTCCCCGGTATACAATTACAGCATATCCCTTTGACACTTGTCAACCGAAACTAAAATACCTCCAGACTCGGCTTCAAGTGCTAATGCAACTTTCTTCACCTGTTCAAAGGTTTTAACCTTTACCAGTATCTTCACAAGTTCACGATACTTCCAATGCAAGTGCATGTTCTCAATAGTACCATCAAAAACCCACGCCTACCTGCAATAATAAATTAGATTCTCATAAACAAGATATTATTAAGTACCTCAAGAGCCTGGTCACAACAAAGATGTCTTGTAATTCTTTTGAAGCATAGAATGTTGAGGTGGGGATTTAAGGTGGGGACCGTCAGAAGATCATTGTGAGGGAAAAGAGGAGAAAGCAGATAAAGTAATCTACAGGGCAGTTTTAGATTTCTGGATTAGATTGTCAATTTTTAGAAATCTAATATGCAGATAATTTTCCAATACCATATCTACAACTTATTGCTAATTTTCTGGAAAACCATAAATAAAAGTTAACTACAACAAATTCTGCCAAGAATTTTTCCCCTTTCACATCCATTTCCAGTAGCAGAGCGTTTAGTAAGGTCCAAATATAAAGTAAGAACAAAAATTCTAGATCAAGTTTTACCAAGTAGTAAGAAAGCTTTCATCCGCAATCCTAACTTGCGAAACATGAATCTCTCCTCGTCAGTTATGCTTTCAGGGTCTGGTTGGTGTTCTGATGGCTTCAAAGATTCCTCCACCTTAGCTAAAGCTCGCTCTGCTCTCATTACCTTTCTTTCAGCCTGGAAAGGAAAAATATTGGATCCAAATCAGGAAATCCTCAACTGGCATTACGTAATGGCATTATCCATATGCATTCGCTGCCAACATACTAGTGCTTAAGCCCTTGTCTACACCAAGATTCATTGATACTCTAAAGACTACTACCACTATGTTTTTCAACCTCCTTGCAATAAAAAGGAGACTTCACATTTTAATAATATTAAATGGTTTGGTCCAAATCAGTAATTTACTTTAGATAACTGGATCAACACCAAATTCTCCAGAATTTTTTAGTTTCATCAATATGAATTTTTAA